TTCAGCACACGTTATTGACGGACGGATGATCCGCCAACAGCAGTTGACGTCATCAAATGCCGACGTCCAACTCAGCACAATGTTTTTTCTTTCGGGAAATTTTGTATGGCGCCCTGTATTTTGCATTATTTTGCGTTGCACCCCTCCGACGGCCGACTTACGCTGTGGTGGCCCGGGGCCTAAAAATCTTTTCAGCAGGCCCCTGTCGGTAGTGGGCGCAACTTTCCAGGATGCCCTCCCTGGACTGACAGTCCCATCCCCATCGGGCCCTGCCCTGCGCCATATGCCCCCATGAGGGGCGGCCATCTTTCTGTAATGCCCCCCAGCAGCGAGGCGCCACAAATTTGAATTCCATTTCGAACTACGTGACGCGCCTCTGCTACGTTCTTCTTGAGTCATGGCCGCCGAGAAGCTGCTGGAGTGCTTCATGCCATATCTCTCTGGTTACCTGACTTTGTAGCTCTCTCTCTCTCTCTCTCTCTCTCTCTCTCTCTCTCTCTCTCTCTCTCTCTCTCTCTCTCCCCGCATTTTGTTCGGGAACTTGATGAGTTGTACTTGCTGCTGATGTATGTAAATGCGTCATTGTAATTGTGTGAAGATTTGTTGGATATACTAACGTAAATATCTCCCTGAGATTCAGAGTTTTGGTTTGGCTGTGTGAACTTACACACACCTTTTGCTTACGTACGTAAGCTATACATTGAAAGTTGGCCTGAATGCAGCCGTAATGACCATGTGTTCGGTTCTGATGAAGATCCGTAACCGTGTTGTACTTTTGTATTCGTTGTGTCTTCCCCATGCATCTTAGAAGAGTTGGGCGCGATCTTGTGTTCTTTCAGTCGTACCCGCGCTGCGTAATTGTTCGGGGGAAGACGGTAGAGTGGACGGACAGAACCCGATGCTGTGAGTAGGACTGCAAGAACACAAGATCGAAGCGTCATCACCGCCCCGATGTCTTTTGATCGTGCTTGTGGGCTTGCAAGCATGGATCCCTGGTTGTGACCCTACAAGCACTATCAAAAGAGGTTGGGGAGGTGAAAACGCTAGAACCCTTCTATCTTGTGTTCTTGCAGTCCTACTTCCAGCATCAGGTTCTTCCCTGGTTTCGCGCCGCCTTTAAGCACAACCGAAAGCTATGTTATTCCGCAACCAGGGATTCCCTGAACAAAGCGCTGCCTGATTATGTACAAACCTCGTCATTTCAGTCCGGTATGGTCGTGATATGGGTGCATTATGCTCAGGGGAAGATGGTAGTGTTCCCTGCGGCCCTATCCCATCCGTTACACACTCTCAGCCCTAGACCACTTCCCGTCCCTTTCCTCACGATTCAGTCTAGGTACTTCTCTTTGTTCCTACACCCACACTTATCCTACCCTCCCCCCATCTCCTGTGCTCATCAGACCCCCCTCATTTTTTGTCCTTCTCTAAGCTCCGTATGTCTCCTGGCGCACCCCCTGTCCTCCTATCTATAGCCCTCAAGCTCACTCAAGCTGCTCGTCTGCCTCTGGTATACCCTCCCGCCAACATCGACTGGGCTGCTAGTGGGGTTGTTGGTACGAGCAAACCCCACTAGCAGCTCACTGCTGGTGGCACCAATCTTATTGGGTGGGGGGAGCTGCACCTGCTTCGAAGGGGGTCCAGCATCCCGTCCCCTATACAAAGTTGATGAAAAAGTTTCATACAAATGGTGAACACTACTGCAGACAGGGATATGAGGCTGCCTCTTCGCCCTGTGATCAGGCTGCATGATGATTCTGCTGCCCCTTGCTAACCCATGCATTCCATGCTTCTCTATGCTTCTATTCCATACCATTGTAATTCCACTAGGGCCTGTTCTGAGGGGGCGAAAGGGGTCTGGGAAGAGTTCTTTAGCTGCTCTTAAAGCACCTGTACATGGGCACGTGGGCCGCGGGTCTGACACCTCAAATTCTGGAGCCGCGAAACGAAAACGCGGGCACCGATCGAATTTATCAACGGCGGGCCCAGCGTTTGACGTTTCGGCGTCGTTTTCTTGTGGCGACAAGTTTCGGACTGCAAGGCTGGGGCCCTGTACTTGTGGTTTAAACCACTAGGACCTCGCCCAGCTATGAAGTCCAAGCCTGGGCCGACCGGTATGCCAAACCCTGCCAAGCCTGGAGCTACTGCTAGCACCACAGGCTTCCGTCCTTCACCCAAAAAAAAAAAAGAACAAAGTAAAGGGAAAAAAATATCGAGATTGTAATATTGTACTCTCAAAGAAAAAGAAAAAAAACAGGAACACGTGGATGAGGAATGAAAAACGAAAAACACGGGTTGAAAAAAAAAAAAAAAAGTTAAAAAAACCAACGACATTCTCCCTCAAGATGTGCAAAATGAGAATGAATCTTCCCGCGAGAACTCAGGCAGATTCATTCTGATTTTGCACATAACGAGCGGTGTGTGTG